AGGCAGGCATATAAAGAAGAAGAATGACTAAGAGCACAGCGCTATACATGCTTACTCAGAAGAAAGTTTCACAATCGGCAGTGGCCCTTACTCCCTAAATAAGGTGTTTAGATTGCAGCCTAACCTTTTATTTGCCAGGTTTCAAATACGTACCTCTCTGCTGTGTTGTATAAACACTATTTTTTGCAGAGGATGAGTTATTCTCATCTCTAGGTCAGGGAATGTATTCCAATGTATCCCGTACAGTATGTTGGATTTAAGAATACTATTACAATGAGTGGCTACAAGCTGTTCTCCACCCCGTGCTTTCTACATGCTCGTAAGAAGAAGAAGAAACCCTAAAGCGTCTACAAATGCATAAGAACAGATAAAAAAAAAGTACGATTGCAACTCCCAGGCATTTGACATGTGTGATTTCAGCTTTACATGGTTGAAGGACGGCCAGTTGAAATAAAACAAATCAAATGCATGAAAGGCAGAGCTTAAAAGCTCCTTTTGTGCATCATTTTCCTGGTGTGGAAAGAGCTTTTAAGCTCTCAGACTTGCTTACTGGGCTCCGGGAGAGTCTTGTGAGTTCTTGTGAAAACTCAGGTGGCCCCACAAGATTTCACAAAGCATCCCAGAGCCTGGTAAGCAGGGCAAAGAGCTTGGACCACTTGCTGCATCAGGTCTAGAAACAGTAAGGATGCTCAGAAGAAGGGGGGAGTCAAGTTTTGTTTTGTTGTACACACCATCCCTCCCCAGATGTGACCCTGACACAAGACATGACTGAACAAAGGTGCTACAGAGAAGAAACTGGCAATGGGTTGGATATGAATATTGTGCTAAACAAGAATTTATGACCAGCTTACCTTCTTCTCTTTTCAAAAACTTTCTTTAGGAAAAAAATACCAACAGCAAGAAGAAATGCCACAACCAGAAGTGCTGAGAGATGGGGGAGAAAAGAAGGTGATGGAAACTATAAATGAAGTATTACCACAATGCAAGTGCTATATAGCACTAATTTAATTAGCAGCACTAATCTCAGGCAACAAATTGGGGAGGAGGAGCATGCAAGCCTGGGCTCACTGCAGCTTGTCCTTGTAATGCTAAACCATGGTTTAATAGTACATACAAAATTAAAGGTAAAGGTAAAGGGACCCCTGACCATTAGGTCCAGTCGCAGATGACTCTGGGGTTGCGGTGCTCATCTCGCTTTACTGGCTGAGGAAGCCGGCGTACAGCTTCCGGGTCATGAACCAGAGCAGTGCACGGAAATGCCATTTACCTTCCCGCCAGAGCAGTACCTATTTATCTACTTGCACTTTGATGTGCTTTCAAACTGCTAGGTTGGCAGGAGCAGGGACCAAGCAACGGGAGCTCACCCCGTTGTGGGGATTCGAACTGCCAACCTTTTGATCAGCAAGCCTTAGGTTCTGTGGTTTAACCCACAGCGCCACCCACGTCCCATACAAACTTATCCTCTGTTAAAAAGGTGGGGACAAACCTAGAATGCCCAGTCCCTAATCTAAATAGAAAACAATAATATTGAAAAGGAAAATAACCAGAATATTATCATTACTAAGTGGCAAAGTTTACACTTTGCTTTCAATTCAAGCCCCTACAGAGATGAAAGCATTTGTGTGTATGCATTCACTATATAGATCCACAGATTTTCGCTACAAATGTAAATTGTTCACTGTGATATTATGAAAAGTCTGAGATTCTATATCGGGATAGTCAAGGTGATGCCCTCCAGATCTTATTGGACTCTGGCTTCCATCAACCCCAGCCACCATTGCCAATGGTAAGGGATGACTGAAGCTGCAGCTCATCGACATTTTGAGGGAACCATGGCCTTGCAGGGGTGCCAACTTGAATAATATATTGTGGGGGCCCAGGTAAGCCCTGCCCTGCATAACTGATCACATGATGCAGTGCGCGCGCACACCATTTGAATGGGAATTGACATCAACTTTGCAGGGGCCTGGCCCCATCAAATATTTTATTGTGGGGGCCGAAACTCCCATGGCCCCTAGCAGTTGGCTTCTATGCTGCCTTGGTCTTACTCTACATTCTTGAGTGACTACATTCAGATGCCATTTCACTATGGCGCAATAGCCACATAATTTGGGAGAGGGAGGGAGTATCCACATAATTTCTTGGCGGTGGCTACCATATGACTCCTTGTTATGGATTTTCCTCTTATGAAACAGTGTGTTCATACTGCACTATTCAGTAATGTTTCACTTTCTCACACTAGTGGGAAAAGAAAATCAGAGGAACACATAATAACTTACAGTACTATTTGTAAAGTATTTCAATCATAGTTAAAGAAATGCCTGATTAGAGTCAAACAAATGCATAATAAGATAACTTACAAATATAAAGTAGAGTTCGAAGTTGTGGTCCTTAAAATAAAATAAAAAAGAAATGTTTTTCAAAGGCCATGGGTAATGCAGGGACATGTTACTTAAGGAGATATCATTCATTATAGGACCAAATCTGCTATAAGCTGATCCTGACTTACTGATTCAAAGCAGTAGACATTGGCAGTGTCGCTTTAGAGAGAACACACACACATATAATATAGATCTTATATACAAGATCTTATATACATATACACACATACACGCTCTCTCTCTCTCTCTCGGTTGCCGCCTCTGCTCACTCAAACCCTTTGCCAACCCCACTTCCCCCACACCTGACCAACCCCCTTGCTTATACCCTCATAGTGTGCCCGTCCCTCACTCTAAGCCCCACCGCCTTTTAAAGGAGGCGCTTCAGAGAACCATTTGGCAAACCAGTATCTGACATGCCTCCCTTCTCCATTAAACCTCACTGCAGGCGGGTTTAATTGGGGAGGGCACTCCAGAGAGAGGTTTGTCTAACCTTCTCCTCCTCCTTTTGGCGTAAGCCACACCCTGATGACAGTGTTCCATTTTTATGTATATAGTAATATATACACACACAAACACACACACACACACACAGAGAGAGAGAGAGAGAGAGAGAGAGAGATTGTTACTGGGGAGAACAAGGATTGCAGATCTGGTGTCTGCACATGGAGAAGCCCAATTTAATCCCCATTCCAGACTAAGGAGCATCTATCACCATTGATCTCTCTTTAAAACCACTCTCTGTAGTGCCTCAATAGCATTTTAATATATTTAATGCTGTGCCAGTTGCGTTCTCTGGTGTAGTACACACATGTACACACACACACACAAATGCAAACACAGAAAACAAGTGTATCAAAGTGCTTGGTAACACAGCCTTACTACAAAGTACGATAAGATGGAAATGAAATTAGTATGCAGCTACAGCCTCTGAACAATACGATCACAGGTATAAAGCTTGTATTTGAAACCACTTTCACTGATATGTCATTGTAAAGGAAACAATGTAAAAGAAACCCCAAAATCAATGCACATTATTGCTTCTGTCATTGGAACACAGTGCAAGGGCAGTCAACCAACCACATTGGAACCAAATAACATGTAGACAAAACCTCAGATTTTGAAAACTTATGAGGCATTGAGCATGGATATTCCCTAACACTACATCCAAACACCAGGTGCAGTTCCCCAATCATTATACATAGCACTACACACTGAATACACCAGTGAACTACACATCAAAACCTTAATCTATGTTCAGTAGTCTAGTTAATTCATCTCAAGAACTTCACTCTAGTAGATTCAAAGATGTGTGGAAGAATTTTAGCAAAGAGGGTAGCAAATGGGAAACATGAATAAATACTCCTAATAATATACGATACAAGTCACAAAAGCAACTAAAATACTATGATTTCAAATTATTTCCCTAGCACCTTGACTCCAAAGCCTTCATTTTGCTCCAGAAGGTATACTAAGCAGAGGGTTAGTCACCAAGACAAAGTTGTGGTGTACACTTGGCCTTCATTAATCTAGGCTGGAAGAGTAGCTCCACACTTTATTCAGCAGACCTGGGATCTTGAGAATATGCACATGCACTACTTTCCACTTGGTTCCTAATATAGTCAAATCACCCAAAGCCCTATTATTTTGCAATGCTGAACCCTGAGGAGAAAAAGCACCATGCATGAAGCCATATGCCACCCACTGGTAAATGCATTAGCACCCAAATGAAATCTCTCTTGCACCCTACATACCTTTACATTCATCACCAACGGTGGGGAAAGGTAATCTCACTAGCTGTGTAAATACTCTTCCACTCCTTTTAAAAAAATTAAAAAAGGAAAAGAAAAGCCCTCGTTGCATAATCAAGCTCTTAAGAGGAATCCAAAAGTAAAACTCAGCCTTCTACTTTATTTAATTTATATTCCACCATTCACCCAAGGGTCCCAGGGCTGCACGCAATAGACATTAAATAGACAGGTTAATAAAAACCGAAAACAGAATAAATCAAACAATATCACATGATTATTAACAACTAGCAGCCTCATGCCCAGCATCGCACAGAAATTCTAAGAAACGTAGACACCGCTGTTGCAGCAAGATCAAATGCAGAAGAAGCTTCCCATCCTTCTCACACTGCGGCACAAAGGCATGAGATTTTTTTCACCCTTCTCCCCTCACTCTGGATGCTTTGAGTACTTGGGTTGTGTAAAATGTAGTAGTTTCTAATGTGGCTATAGCTGTAAAGTGTTTTTGTTGGGGATGGACGCCAATGCTGCAAGGGACCCTAGGTACACCTCTGTATAAAGGCTTAGCCTATGCTTGAACCCTCATTACAGCTTCTTTTTTGTTTCTGAGCAACAAGCCACATATTGAGCTGGTTTGCAGGGCGCACTATGCTAAATCTGATAGATAGATAGACAGACAGATCAGATGCCAACACTACGGACACGGTAAAAATCAAAGTTCTCCAAGGAGTTAACAGGTATTCAAATAATTACATTGCAGGCAAGACAAAAAGAACAGAACATTCTGAAATCCTAATAAAAGCTCTGAATTAACCACTAATACCACAAGGGATTACAATGCTAGCTATTGAAATGAAAAAAAAAGTTTTCCAACCTGTATTATTTGTAGCACTGCCTCCTGATGGTGGCACAGCTTGCCCTGTATAAGAGGCACATGAAGATGGGTTTAAAGTTTTTGCTTTAAATGGTAATAATCAAAACTCTCAAATGAATTAACAACTTTTAGAACAAACTGCAGAAAAAGCAAAAATAACAACATAATCCCAATAAAACCTAATTTAAAAATTCTGTGTTGACCACACAAGCTATTGCAATTAAATAATTTGTTTCTAACCTGTTGTGTTTGTACCATCTTCTGTGGGTTTCTCAATTAGCCCTGTATAAGAGGCACATACAGGCATATTTAGTTCTCGCTCTTATAAAACATTACAATTTAAAGCTTTTGCTACTCCTTAATCTAGTATAACGGAGGGCTGTCAGTTTCTATGTCCTATGACATGAGTGATGCAATTAAAACTCTCTGTGGTTATCAAGCATATACAGATGCACGCCATATACATAAACAACAACTCTGTACCAGAGAAGATGAGCATGCCAGCTAGAAGGGTTTCCCTCTGCAATACTTCCTGGCATCCTCATATTCTTACTGCAGATATGAGAGTCTATTGGCATTTTTTTCTATGAAGAATAATGGCTTTTCCTTGGCTCCCCTTGGAGACTTTAGTTGCTGTTAGGTGGCACAATATAAGGTGGTCAGTTCTAATTAATCTGGTATCTGTCACAAGAGAATCTTACGTTGACATTCTGGAGGCTTCTGGCTCCATTCAACATGATCTTTCTTCCACTGACACTGAGTAGTAGGTGATCCATTTAATGTGTACCTAAATAAAAGGAAAAGTACAAGGTGCACCTTTATACATAATTCTTCAGCGGTTCCTTTAATAACTCTTAATTTTGAAGCATGCACTTTACCGATATCAAGCAAAATTAGAAGTTAGCTGTGCATCCTAACAGAGAGATTTTTATTGTCTCTGCATTGCAGTTTAAATGTTTTTTCCCTATTATTCCCCATAAATGAAGGTTCTATCATCTTTGTTTATAAACGTTATTGTGAGCTACAGTTCCCAGAGTTCCCTAAGGAAGAGGAATTGATTATTAAACCACTCTGAGAATTGTAGCTCTTTGAAAGGGGTCTCCTAACAATGCTCAGAATCCTTAACAAACCATGGTTTCCAGGACTTACACTGCTTTAGATGGACAGTGCAAATGGGCCCATGCATGGTTCATCATAGAATTCCTTATCACAGAGCAAGTGCTTCTGATATCCTGCTTCCCTCTGCTACCCTCTGTATCATCAGGCAATGCTCTGCCACTCCTGGACAGTTACGAGACCTATTAAAGTTGGCTGAAGGTCTCCCAAAACCTGATGCTGTCATACAGTAAATCTTATACAATTTAGCATTAATCATCTGATAATAAATTTGCAAAATAAACCCAACACAAGAATAAGGCAGGGCCAAGAACCCTTAACTCTGTTAGATTAACAGTTTCTCTTTGGTCTATCTCAAACTCTAGGTGCTTAAATTCTTCAGAATAGCAACTTTTTAAAAAGTGGGTAGAGAAGAGCATTACTTTCCACTTGAAGAATGTAGCATATTCAACACTTGTGGAATGTATTTTATTGCATTCTTCCTGCGAGGTCCTTTGTGAAATAGTTGACAAGGAAGTTCAGAGCTGGTTTATTTTGCAATGCACCACATTTGGTTTGCTTATTCCAGTTTACTGAGGAAAAACTTCGTCCTATCAGAATAAATAGGAACGTATCATACTTACTACCATAACATTTATGGGAGAGAGCTGTGCTTAGCTTCTCTAAAGTTTATTTTAAGAAAGTACTATTGGCATGGTTGCCTCAACTCTTAGGTTATTGGTTGTTGGGTTTTTTAAAAAAAGGTAAACTATAGATTTGTTCTCCAGAATTCACCCATTAAATTTCATGTATTAATTAAGACTTGCTAACAGAGCCAAGTCAACACGCACCCATCTTCACATGTGAAATTTACTTTTGCCAAATACAGGAGATTAGTTAGAATAACAGCATCACCATGTTCTGGTTTTCCTGGATCACCACATGATTTTCCTACAGAAAGGTGAGAATTAGCATATTAGGATTATATGGATTTGGCATTCATTGACAATTTGATTCATCGAATATTCTGCCCCAGATTCAAAGGGTAACTAAGATAGCTTATGATCTGCCTATGTTTTCAAGAAGCAGCCCCTTACAGTGTTAGAAAAGTTGCTCTTTAAGTGAGAAGAAATTAACAAGAAAGCTGATGCAGGGTTTGGAGGTGGGTGACAAAAAATACACAAGGCTTTTAGATATAAAAAGTCCATTGAAATTAATGGCTTTAAGCATGCTCAATTGCTTGACAGATCATGGAATTGCTATTGTTAAAAGGCTGTTGTTGTTCCAACCAAATCAAAAGCAAATTAAATGTATTTCAAGTCTGTGGTTATATCCATACATCACATTAAGACAGCAAACAATGCTTTAGTGGTGCATGAATATGCTGAAGCAAACAGGCTCACACACTCCACCACCACAACAGCTGGCCTGCAGTTTGCAGTGTCTTGTACCAACTATAGGTTATCCTACCTTGCTGAAAGTAACCATAGTCAAGGTTACATTATGGGTCCTTGTTACATAGTATACTGTGGTTAATTGAAAATAACATGTGAAAAAGATCTAGGATCTAGTACAGTGGTACGTTGCAAGACGAATGCCTCGCAAGACGAATGCCTCGCAAGACGGAAAACTCGCAAGACGAAAGGGTTTTTTGTTTTTTGAGCTGCTTCGATTTTCCCTATGGGCTTGCTTCGCAAGACGGAAACGTCTTGCAAGTTTGTTTCCTTTTTCTCAACACCGTTAATACAGTTGCGACTTGACTTCGAGGAGCAACTCATAGCATGCGGTGTGGTAGCCTTTTTTGAGGTTTTTGAAGACTTTGGTGATTTTTGAAGCTTTTCCAAAACTTTTCCAACACTGTGCTTCGCAAGACAAAAAAAATTGCAAGACGACAAAACTCGCGGAACGAATTAATTTTGTTTTGCGAGGCACCACTGTATACCACAAGCTTAACACGAGTCAGCAGTGTGATGCAGCAGCAAAAAAAGCTAATGGTATTCTTGGCTACATCAACAGAAGTAACAGTCTGACCACACCTGGAGTACTGTGTCTGGTTCGGGGCACCAACATTTAAGGAAGACATTGACAAGCTGCAATGTTTGCAGAGGAGGGTAGCCAAGATTATCAAGGGTCAGGAAACCACGCCTTATGAGGAACAGCTCAGGGAGTTGGGTATGTTTAGCCTGGAAAAGAGAGACTGAGAGGAGATATGATAGCTGTATTCGAATATCTAAAGGGCTGTCATGCCACACAGAGGATGAAGCAAGCTTATTTTCTCCTGCTCTGGGGGCTAGGAGCTTCCTGTAGCCAATCAAAAGCTTCACTTTGGAAGTTGAACGTTTCAGAAGTTGAACGGACTTCCGGAATGTATTCTATTCAAATTCTGAGGTACGGCAGTACAGTATCATACTCTTCTAAACATATTACAGATGAAAACAAGATTTCAACTGTGTGATCTTGAAGTTAACTGCAACAAGATACTGACCTTTACAAAAAGCTGGGATTTCTGTCCAAGTGTAATTCTCACGACAAGTAATAACAGGAGTTATTTCAGGGATAGTGTCGTAACCTTGGCGGCAGATATAGGCCACAGTGGTGTTGGCAATATAGTAATCCTTCCTTTGCCCTTTCTTTACTTGAGCAAATGCGGACCTTGGTGGGCTCATGCAACTGCCTGGCAACAAAAGCAGACAAAAGAATGGGGAAATATGCTGGGAAGGATTTGACAGAGAAAGAGACTTTTCCTTTTGATTTTTGAACCTTTTGATTGTAATAGTGCATTACGTGACAAATGCAGGGAACTGGCACTGTCGGCATTTTGCTGCCAGATAATTACCTTCCTGATTGCTGAGCCATTTGTGGGCTGCTGGTATTACTCTGCCATTTCAACAAGGAGCTGAGAGTCACTCCAAGGAGTTTTAGCTGAATTTTAGGAAAATGTGGTTTTACCTGCCAGATTTTTTAAAAATATATATTTTTATTGATTTATTTTTTACATAAAATATAATAATATTCAGCTGCAGTTATTTAAGGCAGTCAGGTCTCAATCTGACAGCCGAACCCCACTCTCTGATTAGGAGGAAGTCAGAGAACAAACTTCAGATGTTCTGAAGAAACCTCCATCCATCATTATCGGGGAAAGCAAACCTCCGGGAAGGCGGATTGCAGAGATCAGCTTGGACACTGCTTAACTGCTTTTTAAAGAGTCCAGGACTGCATATCACATTCCGTTTAATTGTTTCATAATGTTAGGCGTAGCTGCTCCAGCAAAACCTCATGCAGAATATTTTGGAGGGCATACACAATAAGGGGTTGTATCCAACTAACTTAAGTCCAGGAAATAACCCTAACTTCCTCCCTCCCTGAAAGTGAGGGAGGGTGACAAGAGGAATCACTTTGGGCCCAATATTGGAGGGGCTCAGTGCCGTGCCACACACCTGTGACATCACAAGCGTGGGGCACGCCTGTGACGTCACTTGCACGGGATGTAATGAGCACCTGTGACATCGCACACGTGCACAACTGGGAGACGCCCAAGCGCCTAGCCCAGCTCATCAAGCTTGGTGGTGGACCAAGCAAATATCCTGCCAGCCAGGCTGCGGCATGGCTGAGGCTGGCACGGCCAAAGTGGGAGCCACTACTGCATCTGCCACAGCAGCAGCAGTCGGTGGCAGAGGCAGGGAAAACGGCGGCAGCAATGCAATTGTAAGACACCCTGAGAACCTGTAGAACAATGGGATATAAAACATTTGCTTAAAATCCATCAATACATGAATTAAACAAGATGTCACCCTTGATTCTAAAACGAATAGTCATTTAAAAAGCCAAAAACAACCCCCTCTCCCCCCCCATAACAATATGTCAAGGATAGGTACATTAAAAAAATAAACACTTACCCACACAAAACTGTTCTATGTGTGACCACTTTGAATCTGGGAGACATGTTACAACATCTACTTTTCCATAGACATTAAAAAAGTTGCCCAGACACTTGTAAATTACCGTTGAGCCTGGAGGGAAAGATGCGCCCTCAATATTCTTATGAGGGACTCCATTGCGAATGACTGGTGGAGGGCCACAATCACCTATGATAGGCAGAAAATATTGCTGTTAAATCAATGCATTGCTGGTATTGTATTCAAAAAATAATACTATGGATTTACCTTGAGAACTGGCAGAAACACACATCATTACCTTGTTCAGTTTCATTCAGCTTTCATGCAGAATACTGTATTTTGTTTTAGATGTATATTGCAAGGATGACCAAGCGCTTATAAAACACCTTAAATGCACAAACCTTTTAACAACCAGTATCTCATCCATCCATCTTCCCAAACCTGAGACAGTCCCTATTTAGCAAAGGGGAAATGAACTAACATAGAGTCATTTATCCCAAGACTCTCAGCCAATCTAATTCTCTATTTTAGCCTGCAATAGCTGTAAGAATAAAAAACCAAAAAGATCAGGCAAAGCTGACCTTACTATTAGGCAAAGTGAGGTAGCTGATTCCTGTGGTTTTTATTGGTTCCCACCCTCAATACCTACATGTATTTAGCTTTTTCCAATCTCCTGAACTGGCAATGAAACTTGCTTGTTTCTGAGTTGGGCAGGATTAGCCGGGTTTCTCATCTGGTTACCTCCCAATATGTCATAGGCAGTAGTGCTGGGAAAGTCCTCTGTTTGAGTGAGCAGGCAGAATGGCAGCCAGCCCAGGACATGCACTTTAGCAAGCATTACATTTGTGCGCATGTTATTCTGCTGCCATACCGGGCTACCATAGTTTCCAGATCTGCCAGGGAAACCTTGCTGGCGGTTCCCATGCCTAATAAGCACTGTGGTGCAGAGGTGCATGGTGGGGCGTTCTCTACTTTACCCTCTCTTCTGAGGTGTGTCTCACCACCACATTGCTTTCATTTTGATGGAAATGCAGCTCTTTGCCTATGTCCTTGTGGAGGGGGAAAGTGTGCAAGGGAGTTGTGTATTTTGGTTGGGGCTGCTGCTTTTCAGTCTTTGTTTTGGATTTTGTAATGGGTCGTTTTATGCTTTTTTTAGATTTATGGTGAAGTCTGATTGTGAAATTTTTGATTTTGAAGAGGCCTTTAGGTGAAGGGTGGATTATAAATACTTTTGATAAATAAATAAAATTGCTGCTGCGTTGTATACAGGTGACCATTCTGTGCGCACTTTCAGCCCTGGGGATGGAATGGGCTTACAGTCTTAAAAGTGTTGGAGGAAAGAACTGCCTATGTATGCCTCTGCCCCTCTAAGGCTACCAACTTCCCTCGGCGCTGTGATGGAACCTGTTGAATATCAGCTGCTAGTCCAGTGAGCTTTTGGGCATGGAATAATGTAGGAAGCTAGCCAGATCTTTGCCTCAGACAGCAAAATGCCATGTCAGCTTGTGGTGAGACAAGAATGAGAAACCACCAGCGTGCCCAGGAACCAGCTGTTGGCACAATGCCACACTTAACCCACATTTAAGATGCTTGCAAATTGAACTTTAAAAAAGCTGGGAGGGGAGGAGAAAAAAAGAAAACAAGAGTTAGCAAAATCGTGTTTCCTGTGCTCACAATATTTACAGAAAAGCCACGGAGCTTTTTAATAAGTAATTTTGTTATTGCAGCTGGGAGAAACGTGGAGACAAGAGCATTATACTAACATATATGATTGCAGCATTACCAGCCAAGCATCACAGGGCTCACCACAAACCTTATTTATCCAACAGTGCTGCTCTGCCTATACAACAGGCTTCCATGTGCACATCAAAATTAACTCTATTTTCCTGTCACCTCCAGCCCCCTGCATGCCCTCAAAATCAGGTCTGTAGGGATAGGAGACCCTCCAGAGTATACTAGGGCATGCCAAAGGCCAGGGATCAGCATTTGGCAAAAGCTGTAAGAATCTAAAAATCGTCTTGCTGGATCAGCTCAGTGAGACATCTAGTGCAGCATCCTATTATCACAGTGGAAATAGCCACTCCTAACCACCAACTGTTTACAAGTGTTGTCAGCTTTGCAGACGCACAAGAGGCCATTGCCAAGGTTACTCACATTGGCCAAACATTTGTATCCAACCAGAACACTGTCTCAGTGCCACTTCTTCCCTACTCTACATGCTCTCTCTCACACACAGTATCCAAGCATTAGGCATCTTGGCCAAATTTCAATACACCAAATTTCAATACATCAAAGCTTTTGAAGGAGTATTCTTTAAGGATATAAAACACATGATGATGTCACTAGCGGGCTGTGCTTGAGTATGCATAATTACATATACTCTTTCCCCTCAACAGTTATAAAAGTTCTTCTTCAGCTTGCAGTGCTGAATCATTGGAAGGATGTGACTAAACATACAGCAGTAACAAAAATATCTCTAAGTCAATGGGCAGTATCCAATGAAGTCACTCAGGTAGCAGAAGGACTTCTGGTTCCGCAATATAACTTCCCCTTTCTCTCTCCCTGCACACCTCCTAAAGTAGTTTAGGGTTCTTCCTTTCTGGAGCATATTTAGGGAGCATACAGGGAGAGGAAAAGGAGAGGATGTTCCACTACACTGTGCAAACAGAAATGCTTGGGCTAATGGAACTATTTTGTTGGATACTTCCCATAATTTAAACTCACCACCAGCACACAGCACCGGTACTTGAAAAGTCCCTGCAAGTTCTTTGTGGCAGCTGTTGTAGATGCAACTGTTTTTTAAATTTAATTTTATTTATTTCTAATTTTAACAAAGTAATAATAATAAACAAATAAAAATAAAAATGTGATAGTCTGACCCCTTTCCTTTTTAACAGTGCAAATTCTACAAATACCTTCCATATCTCATCAGAACCATTTATCCTGTATATTCCCCACCTTACCTTAATAGCACATGTTAATTTATCATTAATAGCTATATCCCACACCTCTTTATACCATTCTTCCATTTTATATTCACACAGCACTGGTACTTGAAAAGTCCCTGCAAGTTCGTTGTGGCAGCTGTTGTAGAGGCAACTGCTTTTTCAGCAATTAACTTATCACTGCTTTCTGATAAAAAGCTGATTTCCGGCTGAGCAGTCTCATGCCCATGCTTAGCAAAGCTCAATCCAGATAAGATGGAGTTTGTGGGTGGTTCCCTAGACTGGATGGATGGGGGGAAGCCTCCTCTTGATGGCATTACATTCCCTCCAAACAAGCAGGTAGTAGTTTGGGAGTACTTCTGGATCCATCACTGTCGTGGCCCTGGTGGTGCAGAGTGCCCTCCCCCCCATCAGCTTCAGATGGCGGCCCAGGCCCAACTATACTCTTATTTGGGCAGGGACAGCCTATCTTCTGTTGTCTACGTTAGATCACTGCACATAGGACTGCAATGGAAGGTGATTCAGAAATCATAGTTGGTGCAGAATTCAGTGGTCAGATTGCTCAATAGGGCAAGATGGCTTGAGCACATAACACCAATCCTGGCCTGACTACACTGGTTACCAGTTAAGTTTCCAAGCCCAATTCAAAGTGCTGCTTTTGACCTATAAAGCCTTATGCAGTTCAGGACCCCAATACCTCAAAGACCACCTCTCCCTGTAAAGCACTCTGGACCTGGCTTTCGTCACCTGGAAGATCTGGAGGGTGGCAATGTGAAAATGGACCTTTTCAGTGGTGACTCCCTGTTTGTGGAATGTTCTGGCACCAACATTATATAAAATCATTTTTAACCAGGCTTTTGCCTTTTAATTGTCTTTAGCCTTGAGTGGGTGGAATGTTTTAATCCTGCCTTTTAAAAAATAGGATTTTCCTTTAGGGTCTTTATTTTTTCTTTTCTTTTATGCTGGTTTCAATGTATGTGTTTGTATGTACATATATTGAAAGTTGCTTTGAATTACCTTGGTAAAAAAAGATGAATAATTTTAAATAATAATAATAATTCACTGTCTTTTTGAACAGAATGGTACAGAGCACACTTAAATACTGTGCTAACTGCCCCAGAACCATGTACTCCCTCAAACTGGATTATATTAAAATAACCTCTGAACATCACCTCATATAGGCCCTGTTCCAAAAGAGCTGCACTGACTGCCAGTTCATTTCTGGGTTCAATTTACAGTGGTACCTCAGGTTAAGTATTTAATTCGTTCCGGAGGTCCGTTCTTAACCTGAAACTGTTCTTAACCTGAAGCACCACTTTAGCTAATAGGGCATCCCGCTGCTGCAGCTGCGTGATTTCTGTTCTCATCCTGAAGCAAAGTTTTTAACCTGAAGCACTATTTCTGGGTTAGCGGAGTGTTTAACCTGAAGCGTATGTAACCTGAAGCGTATGTAACCTGAGGTACCACTGTATAGTACTCACTTTAGTGTTTTAAGCCCTAAATAACTTAGGCCCCACATAGCCTGAAAGACCTTCCCTGCAGAACCTCACAGGTGTTAAGATCAGCAGAGGGGAAGCTCTTGGGAGTTTCACAGCCCTCGGAATTCGGGGGGGGGGGGTCGGCCCAGAAGATTGCATTCTCTGTGGAATCCCCTAAACTGTGGAATTCCCTCCTCACAGATATGTGTCTGGCTTCTTCACTATTCAGCTTTCGGCAAAAGCTGAAGATGAACCTCTCCACCTTTGAGATGTGTGTTTCTGGGGCCCACTCTATTCCTTTGATTGTTAACTGTTTTAACTGTTTTAAATTTTGAATTTTAAATTGTAACCTAACCAGGGACCTGTTGGTAGAGGGTGTGTAATTAATGATGATGAGAACAACAACAACAACTTGAAATTGTAGAAATTGCTTTAGGAATGTGCTTTCTTTTTTGGTCACTAACACTAGTAATCAAGAGGAAAGGAGAGCAAAATTGTCATCATGATTTCCAGCACTTATTTCAGCCCTGATACCTATGGTTGTGGTTGTGGTTGGGGTTTGGGGGAGAGGCGGGAGGTAGTTTATTCCCATCAAATTAGATGTGCTTCAAGAGTTAAACAACAAACTACTGACAGGGTTTTTTTTCCATTTCCACCATACTTTTCTGCCAAACAGGATCTCAAAGCAGTTTACAACACAAACAGCAGATTATTTCGATTAAGCTGATTATTTGGATATTGTGTTATTAGAACCAATTACTTGGTGAAAATGTAATACATCATCTTTAAATATCACATTCTAAGAAGGCCCAGTCAATGGGACTTCACCTATTCCTGAGTTGCACCATATACAAAACAACTTAAGAAAAAGCCTGTTGCACTAGGCCAGTGATCCACCTAGTCCAGAATCCTGTTCTCACAATGGCCAAGCTCCCCTCCTGCAATTTCCAGCAGCTGACCTTCAGAAGCATACTACCAAGAAGTACCACTCCAGTTAGGGTGACTTTAAGTTCTATAAGTATATAAATTCTATGAAACAATTTGGTATTTTCTTTCTTTCTTTTGTGCTCTTTGGGTGAGGCAAATTATATCAAATAAAAACAAAGGAACGAAATATCAGGGGAGTTAAAAGGTAGAAACAGGCTTGACATACACTGGTTGGGAAGTTGTTCTGGTCTCTTTCTCCCTACCCCACCCCTCCATTCATACTATTAGTGACTGGATTAACTCTAAAGTATTCCATTCTAGATTAAAAATGTGCTTGTTCATTCAAACATCATTCAGAATAATACTTGTTAGTTTCCGCTTGGCATTCCTACTTATGCTGCTGAGTAAGATTTACTCAAATCCAGTTACCAATTATATAGTTAAAACAACAGGCATATATGATGAAATACTACCTCCCCCCCCCCCACATACCCACATTGCAGGAGGATGGACTGGATGACCCTCAGGACTCCTCCCAACCCTACCATTCTATGATTCTATATGATGAAATACTATACTCTGTGTGTGTGTTTATTTTATAAAATTTATACACTGCTTGATTGTAAAAACACCCAAAGTGGTTTACAAAGGACAGTAAAAGCAAGAAAAAAATTACAACCCAACTTTAAAAATGTACAAAAGTTAAAATACTAAAACATTACCTCAACTTTCTTAGCAGCTGGGTAGGTCTGTCTAAATAGGAATGTTCTTAAACAGGTGCAGAAAAGTGTGTGTGTGTGTGTGTGTGTGTGTGCAGATATGTGCCTTTCACAAACTCGAATCCCCAGATGTTGCACTACAACTCCCATCCTCCCTAGCTACTAGGACCAGTGGTCAGGGATGATGGGAGTTGTAGCTCTACAACACCTGAAGGCTGAAGCGTGGGGCTGGTGTTTATGTATATATATATTTATATATGGGGTGTGGGTGGGTGTACCAAGTTTCCCTGCCCTTTGAGCCACTGGGAGCTAGGAGCGCCCATCACACACACACACACACACACACACACACACGTAGAGGAAATCCTTCCCTACAGTATAAGAACCAATATTTGAAGTTGGGCAGGATGGTGGGCGCTCCTAGCTTGCTCCCAGTGGCTCCGAGGGGCAGGGGGTGGGATCCCTTCTGTCGAGTCGCGGCTCCCGCTTTCCCTCCAGCTACTCACTCAGGACGCCGGCAAGTAGTGCAGAAAGCACGAGGAGCCTCGGGCCAAGGCTGGGCGGCGAGAGCATCGCAGCGCGCGGCTTCCGCGCCCTCCAAGAAGAGCCTCTTCCAGGGAGCGATTAAGGCTTCCAAGAACGCCGCCGCGAGAGTCCGCGGGGCGGAGCCTCGAGGGGAGGAATCCGTCGAGGCGGGGAGAGCGGGAGGTTCAGGGGGTGCGGCGGCGCGCGAGGAGGAACCCGCCTCCTCTTCGCGCTGGGAAGTGCAAAAGCTGCAAGGAAATCATTCGGTCCTCTCTCCTCTCACACAGTTTTTGTTTTCCCCCGCTATGACGTGAAGCCTGGGAAGTTCGGCGGTTCGTTGTCAGACTTGCCAAGGATGTTGCTACCACAGAATGAAAATAGTTACTCGTTTGGGGAATTTGAAAGTTTAAAGACCCTTAAGGCTCAGCCCAGAATTCTAGCCTCGCTCGGTTTTCTAGTTACGCCCCAAAGCGGAATGTTAAGGTGTGGTGGTGGTGATGTTGTTTTTTTGGCAAGGCGTGTGTGGGAATGCCGTCATGTGTCTTTTTCTCAAAGATAAAACTACTCGTAGAACTCGCTTCAGAATTGGAAGGGACACTAGGGTCATCTAGTCCACCCCCCCTGCAGTCCAGGAGCCTCATATTCACTCGTGCCTGAACAATATTGTATTTCAGATTAGATTAGTGTCAGGCCCTGGGGAACGTACAGAAGGCTTACTACACATAGGGAACCTCAGGCCCGGGGCCAAATGTGGCCCTCAGAATTGTCGCTGGGCCATTGGCCCGATACAGCAGGCTCTTCTTGTGTTCTTAACATTTCTATTACGTTAAACTGTGGAGTTCCTCTTTTTCACAAATAAATGAAATTTCTCCGGTTACATCCTGTTCTTCTGCCACATCCTGGGTGCTGTGAGCAGTTACAGTTGGTTGCCATGCTGGCAAATGTTGTTGCTACCTGCAAAATAAACATTAATGCAGCAAGTCTGTGAGGTAGGGTAAGCTGAGACTTAAGTCACCCATGGAGGTTTGTGGCTGTGTGCTATTTTGAGTGATGATTTGAGCCTAGGTCTTCCAAAATAACCACTGCCCCACACCAACTAAAATCTGGCAGCCATGAATGGAGCCAGGACAGAATGGAATATGCTGACTTTCGGATCTCAGCACTAAGGTACCAAACATAGTTTGATTCTGTTAGCACAGTAAAATACTCCCTGACTGTCAGATTTAGCAGCAGTGCTGGGCCATTTCCAGTTTTCACAGAAAAGTCAAAACTATGGTAGCAATGTAATGCCAGTGCTTAGTTTTAATAAACAAATTGGGGATTTATGCATCTTAAGGGCATTTCCAAGCAGACTCTTTTTTTAAACGTCAAGTGTATACTGAGTCATCTGGTCTAGCAGTCAGAAGCAAAACCACATTAATCAGATACTTGTGTGCCCTTGCCAAATGGCTTGCAGAAGCCTTTCTGTGTGTAAGTACACAAATGGGAGGCTAGGGATTCACAGCATCAGCAGAAATCACATAGAACGCCCCCCCCAAACCTCCTCAAAGTACATTCACACATGAATGTTTGTTTATAGTCAAATTCCAAAAAACAAATATTTGATTCCGTGCAATGAAGGGCAAACAAACTCCAAAACACAAGCCCACCAATAATACATTTTTCATTATTTAAAATTTTAAACAAGATTAGGGAAAAAATGAAATAACCAATACTGTGCTCTTTATCAATTCCATGAACATTGCTTTCAGATCTTTATTGCTTTGACATAGCTTTCAATCACAAGGGGAGACTAACCTATCCAATCCAACATTGGCAGTGAAGAAGTACCTGCTCCTTTGTTTGTGTTTCCTCTTCCCTCCCCATCCTTTTTTCGCTCTTTGTGTTGTGTGGTGGAGGGGGGGCAGAGGTACTCTTTTAATATTTGTACTGTACAGTGCTTTGAAAATGTTAGGTGCTTTTGAAGTGTAATATTACTGTCAACTTTCTGAGGCATATAAAATAAGTTCTTATAAAAATAGTGATTATTTTTCATTTTAAAAACACAGTGTTAGAAAAAATTAAGTTATAACACAAAAAAGAAAAGAACATATTACCATTTGTGTTCCAACATTTTATAAATATCTATTTTTCTGTCTATCTGCATGCATAAGAGATGTTGTAACAAAGTAATACAAACTTAAGTAGGAGAGCAATCACAGAGGGTTTGATGATGACACATTCTGTCATATGTCAAAAGGCATATTACTATTCCTCTTTTTAGTGTTTACCTAGGGAAAATTTCCTTATAAATTCTAAAGGGGGGGAAAGGATACTAGCATATTTTGCTGAAACTGTATGAATATTATCATTATTTACAAAAAAGATAAAGCTCTATTCCTTTATCTCAGTCTTAATCTTGGTTCAAATTTTTCTGCCATTGCAACAGACAGTGCCATTTTTCTAGAAAAAGAGGTGCCAGAACTCACCATGAACACCTCCCTCATTCTCTTAGAATGGCAGTAGTGCTCACCTGAGAGGAGCCAGAACTGAGTTCCCGTGAGTTCCCGCTGAAAAAAGCCCAGCAACAGGCCATATTTGATAAACTAAACCTCTTAAGCAAATTGCAATTTTTTAACAATAGCTATTTGAGCCTCAATTAAGAAAAACTCAACCAACTCTTTATCTATTCATTTTTCATATAATCCATCCCAGAAACCTAACAATGCTAGGGAAGGTGTTGGTCCTATCTAGAGAGTGAATTGATTTCCTGAAGTACCATATCCCATAAATCTGCCAGTAGATGGCACACAAACCAAAGGGGACAAATATAGATATGAGCATTTAATTTGTTTACAACACCATCACTGTGGTGAAAAGTGGAGGTTCATATAAGAGAGAGTTGGACTGGAGTATAGCATCATCTCTATATTGTTTTTAGTGCAGGTTTTGGATTCATGCTGAGACCATCTTCTTGGATGCATTAATCAACTCTCTGCTTGCTTGTTGCTTAATGAAAGCTTTTATAATAAAAGAGCTAACTTGTCATGCACTTGTTCTTCTAAAAGTTCACATCCTTATTTTTATTGTAAAAATAATAAAGCCTACATAGCGATTTATCACAAGATACTTTGGGATTGATTTTTACCATAAAATGTGGATGGTGGAAAAGAGAAGTGGAGATTGGGGGGGGGGGGGACTAAATGTTTGACCTTTGATTAAATTTCCAAAATTCTGGTTTTTTATTAGGGGCTACAAACTCAGTTTAGGTTCCATGCCCCAAGTTTTTAATGAGAAAAAATAATACCTGTGGTTACAGGTATTCCATCTAGACCATTGTTTTTCAGTACCAACCAGGGTTTTTCCTCATCTTTATTACCCAAAGGCCAAATTTGCCTCCCACTGGTTTGCCTCATAAGTATGTATATGGTCCTTCCTCCCTCTCCCTTTAAGAAAAAGCACTTTCTGATTCAAGCCCCGCTCTCAATATAAATCCTATCATTTTGTCAGGTCTGTAGTATTTTTTATTCTTTTTATAGCTTAGTTTATTTGTATCCTAGCCACTTTTTTTGTACTATTTGCACTATATACGAACCACCAAGGGACCAGATAACATTACAACCGTATTGTCAGCAAATAAAATTATTAAATGTTCCTTTCCCTTTATTATGGTCCTTTATTATTAAAGTTGGCTCTTAATGCCACCACCAGTGGCTTCGAAGCTAGAACAAATAACAGAGGGAAGGGGGAGCAATCTTGTTCCATTCCTCCGTATATTATAATGGATCAAGAGGCACGCCCATTCATTCTTACTGCTGCCTTTGACAATTGGTAAATCAGTTTGATGGCGTGAATTATTTCATGCCCCAGAAATAAATTAGAAATTACCTGAAGAAGGAGCTTTCTGTACCACCAAAGGCCAGGCTGACACTGAGCATAGTTTTTGTTCTTCACAATGGTGAATTAACATTTAGAAAGCTCCTAACTGGATTAACTGTGTATCTGCAGTCTTTCTGTAAAGATCTGTTGGATCCATTTCTGTAAACGATTGGGTCAGAAACTATTTCATCTATGGGTGGATCTAGACACAGGTTAAAAATGCTATAAATAAGTCAGAAATTAAATGGTTACAACAAAAGATAAAAAGGCCTATGTAAAAATCCATATAAATTCCTTTTTGCTCTTTGGTGCCATCTGGTGTTGCATGTTTATAACGCATTCAAAAAGTATTGTGACGAATGTAGCCGAGTCCTATGTGTTGCCAATAATGCTATCAGTTTTTTGATGTAAACAAAAGACGCAGTGCCACATGCCCTTAAAAGATACTGTGAAAATTCAGTGTTGCTCTACAATGCTCATTGTGTCTGGGCAAGCATTTTAGCTTGCCAGACAGAAAAATCCCCCTCTCCCTGCTGCATTGTTCTGGAGGTCTCTCATGACACCCCCAAGCCCATTTTGATGGACACAGGGGAAGAGAGGGCAGAAAGCACCACTGCCCAAACCAAAGTCCTTGCACGGGGCTTCTGCTGATGGGATTCATTTGTTGAACTGGGGTTGTTGTCCTTTTTGTTGTCCTTTTGCTATGTTTATTCAATAGGTAAAGTGGACCTGATGGCGGCCTCTGCATCTGTTTTTCAAATGTCTGCTCTGTTCATGTGTACAGCAGGGTGGAGTAGAGGGTGGCTGCAGTTCAATGTCAACATCAAAAACAACATTAATCCTCTTCCTTCTCTGCTCTTCCTCTTTGCATTCCATTGCTTTAGATATTTTTCTCCCTGAGCAGCTCACTTTCACTATTGGAGTCAGGCTGGGAGAAAAATACATAAGACTCTTGCCAGGAATTAAGAAGGCAGGGGTGAAGATATATGAATAAACAACCCCTGACAGTTCTGTTTTAGCTCAAATATCAGGCTTGAAAACTCACTGCAAAACTTCAGCCTTCCCAATAAAGTTATTCCCTTCCCAGTGGAATTTGAACCTGACGTAAGTTTGAAATATCTTTCTGATTTACCATTGTACGGAAACTCCCTCCATCTGAGGCATTACTCTTGCCACTGCAAAAACTCTGGTCAGTCTGCTGGAAATCTCATGCCTTGTGTTTTAAAATATGCATAATGTGCATGTTTACAGATCAAGAATGAGATGTTATGGCCCATCCAGACTAGTGCTTTAACACATTGTCTTCTATGTATCTTTGCTCTTGACTTGTCGGAAAGTGCATTAGTGGTGTATTTATCCTGCATTAGATTTTTCTGCGATGTTATCCCAATGCTATCCCGCTGTTGCTGTCCAGAAGGGCTACAGCACAACAAAAGCAGGATGAAAATAAACCAGTACATTTGTGGTATAAATATTTAC